AGAGGGTCAGTTGTTGAGCGGTTTGATCTGAACCCGAACTGTTGTGGGAGAGGGCATTGCTTCTTTCCAGCGCATCGATAAGTCTGGTGTTTATCATCCTTTCTAGAGTTTTTGAAATGCATGATATTAGTGAAATGGGCCTGTAATCATTTGGTTGGATACTCTCTTCTTTTTTTTGAACAGGTACGATAATTGGATGCTTCCAACAGGAGGGGAATTCACCGGTGTTCCATATTTCATTGTAGATGTCAAAAAGGTGTAGTTTACCATCTTCAGGCAATTTTTCAAGAATTCGCCAATAACTCCATCTAAACCAGGGGGTGACTTTCCAATGCATTTCTGTAAGGCAGAATTTAGTTCTTGCATCCGAAACGGTTCTTTGTATCCTTTAAATTCAGATCTTACTAAACTGTACCTTTCATGTATTCCTGAGGTATAATTATGGGTGTGATCATTGTTCGAGGTAGACACTTCCTTGAAATACTTTGCTAAAACTTCAGCAATATCTCCAGGATTGGTTATAATTTCTCCATTGACTTCTAATCCAGTAAGTCTCTGCCGTTTCCCGATTCCTCTGAGGGTTCTTATTTTATTCCATATTTCGGTCACCGGAGTCAGATTATTTAGCGATGACACAAACTGTTTCCATGATTCTTTTTTGCTATATTTGATAATTCTATTGGCTATCGATCTTAGTCTTTTGAATGCTATTGTATCTTTTAAATTTCTAGTTTTTCTGAACCGATTGTGAGCCTGTTTCTTTGCTCTAATAGCATTACTACATTGTCTATTCCACCAGGGTACGCTATGGTGTTTGGTGTTGTTTTTAATAGTAGGAACTGTTTTTGTTGCTACTTTCAGAATTAGCTCACTAAAAAAATCCACCTTTTCATCTATTTTTCTATAAGTTGGTGTTGCCTGTAATTCTTCAGTTATTAATTTGTTAAAAGTTTCCCAATCTGCCTTTTCGTAGTTCCATCGAATGTTTGAGGGAATGTCATTAATTGTCCCCGATGTGTCTATAACTATTGGGTAGTGATCGCTACCGTATAGATGGCCTTTTGTTTTCCATTTTGCGTATTAGTGCAAATACGCGTGGAAGTGCGTATTAGTGCCTTTTAGTGCGTATCTGACTTCGGAAAAACTTAGATCTACTGTTGAAAAATTTTAAAAAATATTTAATTAGATCTTGGAATTCAAATTCTTTTATTTAAAGTAGCTCCCATCAGTACCTCACTCTCATTCGTGTTGCATTAACTAAAGCTTGTGCAGTATTTAAGTCAAGAATGAGTATAACTATAGAATTCATTTTTAAATTTCATTTATGACATATCTATTAAATACATATCACTACTCTTAGTGCAAAATGTCGTATGAAAAATTTGTCTACTTTTATTTTGTAGTCTGCAACTGATATAAGTAGTCTGCTACTATGGAAAATAGCAGAGGACAAAAAAATATGAAATTTTACTGATAAAGCATAAAGAAATAATTTGTGTTTATGCTCTCTTGCAAAACAATGAATTGTTGCATACGACCTTTTGCACTAATAGTAGTGATATGCATGTTCAGTTTTTTAAAATTAAAAATCATCTAATTTGAAATCTTAGAATACGCCTCTCTTTCGCATTTTAATATTAGTTGATAAATGAAATTCCTGGATATCAAACCCGCGATTGTTGAAGGGTACCTGTATTTCCGAATCGGCATCTTTCAGCGATTTTATTCTCACAATATATATATTCTATATTATAGCGATATATTCTAGCGAAAGAAAATTGTGAGGAAGCTATACTGACCTTTTTCATCGATCCATAGCGAACTGTCATAAAGTGACATTTCATATTATCACAAAGAACATTCTTTAATTTTTTATACGTTATATCAGAACATTGTGTGGACATAAGTTGTATAGAATAGAGCTATATAAAAATTAAAATTTGTATATATAAGCGCACTTAAACAAACAAAATTACTCACAATGAATTGTAAATAAATATAGTGTCAATAATTTTCAATTTCACTTCCCTTTGTCTGAAAATACTTATTTCTAGTAAGAATAGTGTGGTAATTGAAAGCCGTGTGATGCGCGCACCAGATTATCTCTTATCTATAAATCAGGTCGGAATTCACTTTAAGAACTTTCTCAATAACTCATCATCAATAAAAAATTGACTTTGTGATGTCTTGAAATAAACTTATAATATGTTTAATTTATTAATTATTTTATTATTACATTAAATAATGAGATAACAAAATTAAGGTAGTCTAATACAAGTGAAAATACATAATCTGATGCAAGGCAGAATTACTTAATTTGTTTTAAACCGTGGGTGCAAGAGGGTAATGATAATTGTCCGGTTTGTAAACCTTGGAAAATGAAGACACCATTCTCTTCCTGGGGTCCAGTCATGTCTTGAGTGATATTAACGAAAAATATATTGGTTGGCAGACATTTTCGCCGTAGGAATTATTTGTTGTATTGAGAGGTGCTAATTGGAAATACCTGAGTAATTACGTACAGCAAGCCACATTACAATGCCTTATTTAATTTTCATGGATAGTATTTATTACCTATTATTGTGTTGCAGATGAAATACAGGAGTGTATTGATGTGGTTGAAGACCAGACCAACAAAGAAAGTTGTAGTGGAACGTTAAGTGAAGAAGAAGTAAAGGACTCAGAAGATGTCAGCAATGGTGTCGAGATCAAGACAAATGATCCAGCCGTCGAGGATCACAACGATGAGCCAGCAATCCTTGACAATCCAATAGAACGTAAGTTATCATAAGTTTATTTGTTTAATCTTTTTATTATTTTCGGTTAATCTTTATAATTTTTATCGAAGATATTTACTCGATATATCATTGTTTAATTTGTGTTTCATCGGGTTATTGTAAAGAGTCATTGAGAAACATTTTATATCATCGCTAAGAACATTGCTAATTTTTCTCTATGTGATATCAGAACATCACGCGGACATTGTAAATATATTTGACTTATATAAAAGGGATAATGTCTTTACTAGTGATTTATGTCTTATTGATATATAATATCGGAAATCACGTTTAATGCTTATTCAATAGTTCATCTCTATAAAGAATGTAATTTGTGACGTTTTTAAATAAACTTACAATATGTTTAATTTATTAATTATTTTATTAAAATTATATTATTATTATTTTATTAGAAGATGTAAAGAATAGAGAAGAAACCAGCAATGGGATCCAAGTTGAACCAAATGATCCAGCCGTTGAGGATCAAAACGGTGAAAGAACAATTATTTACGATCCAATAGAACGTAAGTTAACATAAGTTTATTTTTTAATATTTTACTATTTTCGGTCAATCTTCATTATTTTAATCGAAGATTTTTATTCGATATATCATTGTTTAATTTGTATTTCATCGGGTTATTGTAAAGTGTCATTGAGAAACATTTTATATCATCGCTAAGAACATTGATAATTTTTCTACAACATTGATAATATCAGAACAATATCAGTAGTAAATATATTTGACACATATACAAAGGGATCATGTATTTACTAGTGATTTATGTCTTATTGATATATCATTTTGGATATCATGTTAAAAACTTACTCAATAGTTCATCTCTATAAAGAATGTACTTAGTGACGTTTTAAAATAAACTTACAATATGTTTAATTTATTAACATTATATTATTATTATTTTATTAGAAGATGTAAAGAATGGAGAAGAAACCAGCAATGGGATCCAAGTAGAACCAAATGATCCAGCCGTTGAGGATCAAAACGGTGAAAGAACATTTATTTACGATCCAATAGAACGTAAGTTATCATAAGTTTATTTTTTAATATTTTACTATTTTCGGTTAATCCTTATTATTGTTATCGAAGATTTTCACTCAATATATCGTTGTTTAATTTTTATATCATCGGTTTATTCCAAACAATCATTAAGCGATAAACAACATTGATAAAGTTTCCCTTGTGATATCAGAACATTGTGCGGGTGTTGTAACGATATTTGATATATATGAGAAGATCTTAATTGTCCAACCTCATTAAAAATGTACTTTCTGATATTCGAACCCCTCTCTCCTTCTACCCTCTGCGCCTATAGTCATTATAACAATGTTTAAGCCCATTTGCTCATTATAAAGTTGTCAATGACGAACGCTTTTGTGGGCCATTATTTGATTCAAATTACAAAAAACATTTCAAATTTTAGATTCAGGTTTCTAACGATTGCAATAACGTTAAATTTTGAGAAATCCTGAGCAGTTATGAATGCTTTATTTAACGCCTGGAAAAAAATCCTTTGAAAAAACAAGTATTAAATTTTACAATTTAGGATTTTTATAATACTTGATATTTAAGGGTTTCAAAGAACTCTTCCCTTCTTCCCACCGACAATATTTCCTAGGATCTTACCTATTCCAAATGATCAACACCCGCTACCCTTCCTTCATCCACAGTATCCTACAGTTCAAGCATGTTTCTGATCTCTGTACCCCTTTCCATAGAACTACGACATTCGAATATTCCTTTATTGCCCGATCCACTGGAATTCCTTGCATCTTATATCCACCATGCCTCTTCCTTGTCCTAATTCAAATACCAACTCTACCAATTCCTTCTCACAACCCAAAATGACGCTGTACAATGAAATGAATTTTAGGAATCAAATCTTTATCGAAAGGAATGGCTGTTGAAATTGTTTCAATTTTAAGAATCAACTCATGGTGCTTGGAACATTTAGTTTTTTTATTTCCACTGATTTCTGTTTTTCTTTTCATTTCAATAAAATACATTTTTTTTTAAATGGTTTTACTTTTTTTTAATATATTTACACTGAATATATTGTATGTATTATTTAATTTTTATTAATATAGTTTTTGGCGTGTATATCTTTTTGTTTTCTGTTCATTATTGTTATTCTTGTCCCAGAATAAAGTTTATTTTCTATTCTATTCTAATTCAAGAATAACTTTTTAGCTCTGGATTTGTCACGAATGACTACAGTAAACAACAGTTTGCAAAAATTGGGAAGAAAACGGCCAGGAGCCTTTATGATTTACGGTAACATATATTTTAATTTATTTTTTTTAATGTTTGATTCATTTTGACCTAATTTTCATGATCTTTATCTTGCATGTTCATACTTATTCTGTAATTATTTAATTTGTATATATTATTATATTTGATATGCATATAACGTACTTTATTTAAAACATATTTAACAATGGAAATTATTTCTATTGTGAAAAATATTTATGTCCAATTTTACAATAAAATACATACTATAAGGTCCCCCACTTTCCAAATAATAATGTTTGTCAATATTGTCTATGCCAGTGTACAGCCTAAGTAAGAAAGTAGCCCAATAGCTACAAAAAACGTTATATAACAATGGTTCAAATTTCTACAAAAAGAAGGAAATTTAAGTTTTGTGTTTTATTAAGTAGGTCGAGTTTTTTGTTGAATAGGAAGAGATAAAAAAAAAACTCCATTTATGTAATTACTAATTGCTTTAGAGTAAACTTGATAGATTTTCTTCAAAGGAATGTAAAGTTTGTCATTGGTAATACTAATGAAAAATGGCTTTTCCTCAGCTAAACTACGCTAAATTTTGTTTTAAAAAAAACATGATCTATAGAAAGTTTATTTAAGTAATTTTGTGAATTATAGTAAAACCCAGCTAATGGTAAAAAGAAATTAAAGCTTTTCAATAATTTATTACAATTTTTTTCTAAAAACACGAGTAATTTTAGGTCACAGAATATATCACACCTTTTTTTTATATATAAATTGCGGTGAAACCCTACTTATCTCATAATAAACCTCTATTTAATTATATGGGCTTGAAGCTTACAAACAAGAAAGTTCTTTTATAAGTGGGGTATCGTAGTAGCATAGTTGAACGGTGATATATAAAAACGAGAGGGGGATATTTGATAATGATAAAATCTACTTACTATCAATAAGTAATAGAAGTAAATTTTGTTTATTTTAAAGTATAGTATGTTTTAATTACTTAAATTGAATATATTTTTAGGCATCCTATTAACCAAAAAATGCGTCTTCCTTAAAAAAACACAAACCTTAAGGTTTTGCTACATTTCTGCAGCAAATCGGACCTCTGTTGATATAAAAAAATTGTTGTAGCTCTTGAGATGTACAACAACTCTTAAAATATTTTCCTTAATTTTCGAGTACTGTTGTCCAAAATTGGTCTTTGTCTCACACTTTGCAAGACCAATACTTAGACCACCTAATTGCTGCAATACCAAGTCTGCTTAAAATAAAATCGATTTTTTGTACGAAAATTAAGGCAAAATAGTTACTATATGTAATGAAATGATATAACCAATATACTTTTGGGTTTAAATCTTTTAATTATTCATTCAGTCTTAGTTAGGTTTCCCCGATCTAAAAAATTACAGTAATATTTCTGTATTTATAAGGAAATATTAATATGGTAATAAGGCAACTGCAAGACTGTTGTGAAACTCTTGCGCAAGACCAAGACCAAGACTCGGACAACTCCACTTGGAGATACCCTTTGTATCTTCCTTTCAATGCATTTCTTTTCGGTATAAAATCAGACGATTGTTAACATATATTTGATTAAGTAAGATTTATTCATATACCACAATATATATATTGTGGTATATGAATAAATCTTACAAATATATATATATATATATATATATATATATATATATATATATTGCTCTTGAGATCATCTATCACCATTTTAAATATTATTTTCAGGACAATCTGTATTTGTGAAAGTAATACTTTTTTATTTTTTCAGATAAAATCAAAAAACTAAGATTAGAACATGACTATATAAAGAAGGCAGAGAACGTTAGGAGAGCAAACGAGATTAACGAATGGTATAACAGAGAAATTCAAAAACCGGGGAATCGGAAGAAACTAATGATCGACCGATATTATAAATTTCAAAAATTAGAATTGGACATACAGCATTTCAGTGTGCCTCGTTCTGTTTGATTTAAGTGATATATTTTCCCTTTCAGTTGTATTTCAGTTATTTTCAAAATGAAATACATTTTGATGAAACTATGTACAGTTGCTAATTTAGCTAAACACAAATCTTTGTGAATACTCTTAAAGTGTTTTTTCTATACTCAATTATTCATATATGATATTTGTTCTTTTTTATTATTTCTGAAGAAATCAAAATCATATAAACTTAATTGGACTTAATTAACTTAGTGGTATTTAGTTCTTAGTGGTAGTTTTAGTTCTTAGTTATAATTTTAGAAATTATTGTGTATATGTGTAAGATTAAATGTAAGATTCAAATGTAAGACTCTATAAATTTAAGTTACATATTACTCACTGTAACATTTGTAAAAAAAATGACTATTGTACTACAATTAGTAAATATTATTTAGTAATAAAGTCTACTAAAACAATTGTTATTACTTATTAAAAATATAATCATTATTTAAAATATGCTAATTGATTTGTGTTCCTCTTCCATAGTACCCCAAAACAATAGAACTATCTAAATAATCTAATTATTTAGGTTACAATCTAAATTTTACATAACCTATGCTAAATGAAATTGCGCAAATTTATAAACATTTACATATAATGCAAATTTAGTTTACATTTTAGTTAAGGTACTATTTTTTTTTTTTTTTTTTTGTATGTGGAGAAATTAAATATAAAAATTTATAAGGAAGTAACTAAAACAAAAAGTACAAACAAAAACAAAAGTAAAAACTAAAACAGAATGTAAAAAGTAAAAAGGCTGTATATGAATCTAAAACAATAAGTAATAACTAATAGCTACTAATAATATGAAATATTAATTTAAAAGATTTAAGATATTGTGAAATTATCAGTTATCTAGATTGGAATAAGAGGGTTTTAGTTTAAAATTGTAATTATAGAGATTTGTTGGAATAAGCACAATAAACTTAAATGTAATAAAAAGTTAATTTAAATTAAACTTTTGAAGAAACTACATTTTTTATTTTACTAAATTTTTTTTCTTTCAAATTTCTTTTTCTTTTTATGCTCTTACCTTTATTTTAACACCAAAAATAAAATGTAATTTTTCTAAACACAGGGGCAAACCAAAATTATGGACATTGTATGGCGTTGTTCATAAAGTTTAAACATAAAGAATAAAGACTGAGGTGGTTATTCTTTGGATAAAAAAAAAAAGTCAACATAACGATTTGGTATCTTGGTTTGTTTCTAATAATGTTAATTTAAATATATACATAACATCTACAATGCATGCAAGGTTAAACCATTTTACAATTAAGGAGATAATAACAATTTTAAATGGAAACATTTATCATTTTTGTGGAAATTTGTTTTGGTCGAAGATTCTTCACACCACCATATATTATATACCAGACAAGGGCTGTTTGTTCCTGAGATTAGTGACCTTCTCAAAGAGTTAGGAGTGGATTGGAAGCCCTCAGGTAAAACCTGCCTGCCCCAGATGGAGAACTTCAGCGCATTAAAGTCACTAAATATTTTGACACTGATTTATACCTGCCTGCCAAGGAGCATAATAGCGGTTAAAAAAATAAAGTCAAAATGTAAAAACTCATCATGTCAACAAAGAGATCATATTAAAATTAAATTAAAAAGGTGTTGTTATTTTAAGATGGTATAAAAAAAAAAAAAAAAAAAGACTGCCAAGTAAGATTAGAATAGCTTCATATTCATTGCTTTATACAATTACCTGTATTTAACGATTTATATTTATTCATATAAAAGTTAAATTTTTGAGTGAATTCATGTCCGAAATTCTGCAAACTCAACATTCCAGGGTTTAATGGTCACTGCGAGGTTTGGCCATCAGTGAATACAAAATGAATATTTAACTATTTGTGAATAAAATTAAATCACCAACATAAACAATTTCCAATAAAGTTTTTACATACACATTTAACATGCATATGAACTTAATAGGTACCTTTTCACCTATAAAATGGATGAAACAAAAATCTGTTCAACAAATTCCGATAATTCTTTGTTGGATGTTTTGGCGAAATAAACATTTTCCATCAAACAGAACAAAAACTAAATTAAAGAGTAATATGAGAATAAGAGTGTTGAACATATTACAAGAAAAGACATCTACCAACTTAAAATTAATTAAGGCCTGTGTCTTAAAATTTCTTTAAATATACCCAATTCAAAAAGGTGCGGAATATGACCTATTACTTTGAAGTTGAAGAGAGAAATCAAGACCATGGTAAGTTAGTTAAAATACCACAAATACAAATAAAACTTAATTTTTTACTATATGCTATAAAAAATTATTTAAATTTACAAATTTAAATTTACGGCAAAGAGGAGAGCGCGTAAGGTATGGCAGACAAACAGACTTCCCTCAGATAGACGGACATTTAACAGACTAAATAACGAACTTAAACGACTAATACAAAAATTCAACAGAACGAATTATGATGCTTATTTGAGCTGCATATCAACTGACGATGGAAGTTTGTGGAAGCATACCAAAAATTTGTTAAAACATCGAGAGGTGTCAGTACCCCTGCGAAACGAAGACGGTTCATGGGCTTTGTCGGATAGAGAAAAATCTGAACTATTTGCAGACCATCTTTCATCAGTATTTACACCATTTACCGACTTCACGAACACAGAACATGAAACCTTAGTATTTGATACTCTAGACATACCATTACAGATGACACCTCCCCCTCTTCCTTTCACTCCTTCACAAGTCGCACAACAAATCAGACATCTCCCAAAAAGAAAAGCTCCAGGTTATGACTTAATAACTGCCGAGGGTCTCCAGCAAATGCCTAGGAAAGCTCTAGTGTTCCTTACGACAATATACAACTGTATTCTGAGGACAACTAACTTCCCATTACAATGGAAATACTCACATATCAAGATGATACACAAAAGAGACAAGACATTTTCAATCCCTCATCCTACCGACCTATCAGTCTCCTTCCGATTTGCTCCAAAGTTTTCGAAAAATTAATATACAAAAGACTGGTTGACATACTGACAGACCAACAAATAATACCTGACCATCAATTCGGTTTTCGTACATTTCATTCAACTACACACCAGTTACACAGAGTTACTGACTACATTGCTGGAGCGCAAAATATATACAAAATAAATATTTAACTATTTGTGAATAAAAATAAATCACCAACATAAACAATTTCCAATAAAGTTTTTACGTACACATTTAACATGCATATGAACTTAATAGGTACCTTTTCACTCATAAAATGGATGAAACAAAAATCTGTTGAACACATTCCGATAATTCTATGTTGGATGTTTTGGCGAAATAAACATTTTTTATCAAACAGAACAAAAAATAAATTAAAAAGTAATATGAGAATAAGAGTGTTAAACATATTACAAGAAAAGACATATACCAACTTAAAATTTATTAAGGCCTGTATCTTACAACTTCTTTTAATATACCCAATTCAAAAATGTGTGGAATATGACCTATTACTTTGAAGTTGAAGAGAGATATCAAGACCATGGTAAGTTAGTTAAAATACCACTAATACAAATAAAACTTCATTTTTTACTATATGCTATAAAAAATTATTTAAATTTACAAATGCTTACACAAATATTCTAGTATATAATATACTTTAAATAAAAGTATGTATTATTTATATTAATAAATTCAAAACCTAACCTTGGTGAATTTTAAGTGACTGCATATAGTTTAGTCAAAGAAAATCGCATGCCTTTCTTAATGCCAATGTTTTTGAAAATAGGACTGTGGAAATTAGGACGATCAACTACTGTTATTTGAAAAGTCATTATTTTAAATTATCTTTATTCAAATAAATATTGTATTTAGGTAATTATGTCTATTACAGTATATCCAAGATCGTACAAAAACATGAAATAGTTAATTCTAGTCATTTTTGCTAAAAACACCGGTAATTTTAGGGGACAGGATAAAAAAAATCAAATACGTTTTCTACACAACTTAATTTTCACCTATTCGTGGGATACCCTGTATATACAGGGTGTCCCATAAGTATAGAAATATATTTATAGGACTGACAGCCAAGAATGATAGAGGGACAACCCCTACACATCCAGGGCTCTGCAACCGAGGAGGCAATCCCCTGACGTTGCGAGGATAGGATAAGGTAAGACCGCCAAGAATGATAGAGGGACAACCCCTACACATCCAGGGCTCTGCAACCGAGGAGGCTATCCCCTGACGTTGCGAGGATAGGATAAGGTAAGACCGCCAAGAATGATAGAGGGACAACCCCTACACATCCAGGGCTCTGCAACCGAGGAGGCAATCCCCTGACGTTGCGAGGATAGGATAAGGAAAGACCGCCAAGAATGATAGGGGGACAACCCCTACACATCCAGGGCTCTGCAACCGAGGAGGCAATCCCCTGACGTTGCGAGGATAGGATAAGGAAAGACCGCCAAGAATGATAGGGGGACAACCCATACACATCCAGGGCTCTGCAACCGAGGAGACAATCCCCTGACGTTGCGAGGATAGGATAAGGAAAGACCGCCAAGAATGATAGGGGGACAACCCCTACACATCCAGGGCTCTGCAACCGAGGAGGCAATCCCCTGACGTTGCGAGGATAGGATAAGGTAAGACCGCCAAGAATGATAGAGGGACAACCCCTACACATCCAGGGCTCTGCAACCGAGGAGGCAATCCCCTGACGTTGCGAGGATAGGATAAGGTAAGACCGCCAAGAATGATAGGGGGACAACCCCTACACATCCAGGGCTCTGCAACCGAGGAGGCAATCCCCTGACGTTGCGAGGATAGGATAAGGGAAGACCGCCAATAATGATAGGGGGACAACCCCTACACATCCAGGGCTCTGCAACCGAGGAGGCAATCCCCTGACGTTGCGAGGATAGGATAAGGTAAGACCGCCAAGAATGATAGGGGGACAACCCCTACACATCCAGGGCTCTGCAACCGAGGAGGCAATCCCCTGACGTTGCGAGGATAGGAT